CCCGCCACTTTCGTGGTCTATTATCCTCACGATTCGGTGAAGTGTTTAGTCGCCGTGTATGATCCGACTTGAAACCGGGGCGCCGGTTCTCCAATTAGACTGGAAAGGGCTTAGCCCGTTATAAGGACGCAAATGGCGATTGCTGGATGATCCGGGATCGCGCCCAGCGTTGCCAATCGGCCTGAAAAGGCCACGAAAGGAAACAATATGCCGGACAAAAATGTGAGTGCATCACAGGCCCCTGAAGAGGCAGGTACTTATCCCGTTCTGCCACTGCGTGACATCGTTGTCTTCCCGCACATGATCGTGCCGCTGTTTGTTGGTCGTGAAAAGTCGATCAAGGCGCTTGAGGAAGTCATGGGATCGGACAAGCAGATCATGCTTGCCACCCAGATCAATGCGGGCGACGACGATCCGGAGCCTGCAGGCATCTATGAAATCGGCACAATCGCCAATGTGCTGCAGCTGCTCAAGCTGCCTGATGGTACCGTAAAGGTGCTTGTCGAGGGCCGCGCGCGCGCCGAGATTGTGGAATACACCGACCGCGAAGAGTATTACGAAGCCCGCGCTGTCGAGCTGGCCGAACCTGATGAGGATCCGGTCGAGATCGAGGCCCTGTCGCGCTCTGTGGTCTCCGAGTTTGAAAACTACGTCAAGCTCAACAAGAAAATTTCGCCCGAAGTGGTTGGCGCTGCCAGCCAGATCGACGATTACTCGAAGCTCGCCGACACAGTCGCCTCGCATCTGTCGATCAAGATACCGGAAAAGCAGGACATGCTTTCGACCGTCTCGGTCAAGGGTCGTCTTGAAAAGTCGCTTGGCTTCATGGAAGGCGAGATTTCGGTGCTGCAGGTCGAAAAGCGCATCCGCTCCCGCGTCAAGCGGCAGATGGAGAAGACCCAGCGCGAGTACTATCTCAATGAGCAGATGAAGGCGATCCAGAAGGAGCTTGGCGACGGCGAGGACGGCCGCGACGAGATGGCCGAAATGGAAGCCCGCATTGCCAAGACCAAGCTGTCCAAGGAAGCGCGCGAAAAGGCGGACGCCGAGTTCAAGAAGCTCAAGCAGATGAGCCCGATGTCGGCCGAAGCGACCGTGGTGCGCAATTATCTCGACTGGCTGCTGGGTCTGCCATGGGGCAAGAAGTCCCGTGTCAAGATTGACCTGAATGCTGCCGAGAAGGTTCTTGAGGTCGACCATTTCGGACTTGAGAAGGTCAAGGAGCGGATCATCGAGTATCTTGCGGTGCAGGCGCGCTCGTCCAAGATCAAGGGCCCGATCCTCTGCCTCGTCGGACCTCCCGGCGTCGGCAAGACCTCGCTTGCCAAGTCAATCGCCAAGGCGACCGGCCGCGAGTACGTGCGCATGGCGCTGGGTGGCGTCCGTGACGAGGCCGAAATCCGCGGTCACCGCCGCACCTATATCGGCTCGATGCCCGGCAAGGTCGTCCAGTCGATGAAGAAGGCCAAGAAGACCAACCCGCTGTTCCTTCTCGACGAGATTGACAAGATGGGCCAGGACTTCCGCGGTGATCCGTCGTCAGCGCTTCTCGAGGTGCTGGATCCGGAACAGAACTCGACTTTCATGGACCACTATCTCGAGGTTGAGTACGACCTGTCCAACGTGATGTTCATCACCACGGCCAACACGCTCAACATCCCTGCTCCGCTGATGGACAGAATGGAAGTCATTCGCATCGCCGGTTACACCGAAGACGAGAAGGTGGAAATCGCCCGCAGGCATCTTTTGCCCAAGGCCGTGCGTGACCACGCGCTCAAGCCCGAGGAGTTCGAAGTCAGCGACGATGCGCTGTTGCAGATCGTCCGGACCTACACCCGCGAAGCCGGGGTTCGTAACTTCGAGCGTGAGCTGATGAAGCTTGCCCGCAAGGCGGTGACCGAGATCCTCAAGACCGGCGAAAAGAAGGTCAGTGTTACCGCTGACAATCTCTCCGACTATCTCGGCGTGCCCCGGTTCCGCTACGGCGAAGCCGAATTCGACGATCAGGTTGGTGTTGTCACCGGACTGGCCTGGACCGAAGTGGGCGGCGAGTTGCTGACCATCGAAGGTGTCATGATGCCCGGCAAGGGCAAGATGACCGTCACCGGCAATCTGCGTGATGTGATGAAGGAATCGATCTCTGCGGCGGCGTCCTATGTCCGCTCGCGGGCTGTCGATTTCGGCATCGAGCCGCCCTTGTTCGACAAGCGCGACATCCACGTTCATGTTCCCGAAGGGGCCACCCCCAAGGATGGCCCATCGGCCGGCGTTGGCATGGCAACCGCGATCGTCTCGATCATGACCGGCATTCCGGTGCGCCGCGATGTTGCCATGACCGGCGAGATCACCCTGCGTGGCCGGGTGTTGCCGATCGGCGGTCTCAAGGAGAAGCTTCTTGCGGCGCTGCGCGGCGGCATCAAGACCGTGATGATCCCCGAGGACAATGCCAAGGATCTCCCCGAGATTCCGGACAATGTCAAAAATGGCCTGGAGATCATTCCGGTTGCCAAGATGGGCGATGTGTTGCGGCATGCACTTGTGCGGATGCCCGAGGCCATCACATGGGATCCAGACGCAAAGCCGGAGGCGGCGATTGCCGCGGATGCCGGCGAAGAGGGTGGCGCAACCATCGCTCACTGACGGCTGCTTTACACTGCGGACAACAATCTGACGGGCGGGAACTTTTCCGCCCGTTTTTTGTTGAATCGCGTGCATCAGACAACCGGCTGAACCAAATCGGGACGATGGTCCGGAAATTTCAGCTTATTGATTAACTTTCTCGGGTGCGAAAGGCCTGCGAAGTGAAAATTGCCTGTGAAAACCCTTCATAAAGCGCGGGATTCCGGGGAGTTTGGTTGCGCGGGACCGTTAGATGCGTAGGATCACCGCATCGAACGAAATGAGTCGACATAACGCCAGAAAGGGACGGAAATGAACAAGAATGAACTCGTGGCCGCTGTGGCCGAGAAATCGGGTCGGGGAGTTTGGTTGCACGGGACCGATAGATGCGTAGGATCACCGCATCGAACGAAATGAGTCGACATAACGCCAGAAAGGGACGGAAATGAACAAGAATGAACTCGTGGCCGCTGTGGCCGAGAAATCGGGCCTGAGCAAGGGTGATGCAACTTCGGCTGTTGAAGCCGTTTTCGAAACCATCACCGGCGAGCTCAAGAATGGCGGCGACGTCCGTCTGATCGGCTTCGGCAACTTCACCGTTTCGCGCCGCGAAGCTTCGAAGGGCCGCAACCCGCAGACCGGCAAGGAAGTTGACATTCCTGCGCGCAACGTGCCGAAGTTCTCGGCCGGCAAGGGTCTCAAGGACGCCTGCAACTAAGCCGCACTTTATTGTTTGCATGACGACAAGCCCGGACGCCAGCGTCCGGGCTTTTTTGTTGCTGAGAGCGGACTGGACTGAAGGTCTGGTCGTTTTGGCTTGACGCGGCCGGTTGAGTGGGTCGGGGCACCCCGGTCTGCTTTGGAGGCGGGCCGGGCGGACGGCCATTATTTGACATAAGGGTGCTTGACGATGGAACAAAAATAGAACAATATAAAAACATAAAGGGAATTCAAAGGAGTTGATCATGACCGCATTTGCCCGTGACATTGCCGCTTTCGTTTCCATGTCTCTCTTCGTGGCCTGCTTTGCCGTTCTGGCAATGGCATTTTGATTTCAAAGAACTCTTGTGAATTTTCATGTCGCCGGTTGCGGCGGCATGCAGCATCTCAGGCGTTGTTGCGCAGCAATCTTGCCGCCTCATATGTCTGACGGGGCAAGCGCCCCGGGTCGGGTCTCCACGGCTTGAAAGAAGCCGTGTCTCTTTGGTGATTTCGTAGCCTGCGCTCTGGACTTTGCTGTCCGGGTCCTCACAATTGGCGTTTGAGTCTAAGGCCGCACCGGCACGGTGCCGTGCAGTGGACCGGATGGCAGAGGGCATCAATGGCACGGGAAAGCAAATCGGCGAAACTGCTGGCCAATCTGGCGGCGGGGACCGAACAGGCGCGAGAGCGTGGAAAGCAGGCTGATGATCGCGAGCTCGGCAATTGGCCCGGTTTCGTGCATCTGCGGGTGCATTCAGCCTATTCGCTGCTTGAGGGCGCACTGCCGATCAAGACCCTGATCAAGCGCGCCGTTGCCGATGACCAGCCAGCACTTGCCATTACCGACACCAACAATCTGTTTGGCGCACTGGAATTCTCTGTAAAGGCCATGGAAGCGGGCATTCAGCCGCTCATCGGCTGCCAGCTTGATATCGACATGGAGGACGGCCAGGCCGGAGACCGGCGGTCTCACCGCGATCATCTGCAAAAATTGCCGTCGATTGTCTTGTACGCTGCAACACCTGACGGATATGACCGTCTGGTCGCGCTGGTCAGCCAGGCCTATCTTGGCGGCAACAGCACCGAGAGCAATGATCGCACCCATATCCTGTTGTCCTGGTTGCAGCAGGGGGCGGAAGGCCTTATCGCGCTCACCGGAGCCACTGGCGGTCCCGTCGACCAGGCAATGCGCGACGGCCACGCGGAACAGGCCAGGGCCCGCCTGGACACCCTGAAAGACGTGTTTGGTGACCGGCTTTACATCGAATTGCAGCGTCAGAGCGGCTTTGACCGGGCGCATGAAGCCAAGATGATTGCGCTCGCCTATGATGCCGAGGTTCCGCTCGTTGCCACCAACGAAGCCTTTTTCCCGACACCTGATGATTTCGAAGCCCACGATGCGCTGATGGCTGTGGCCAACAACGCGGTCATGTCGGATGACCGGCGACCGCGTCTGAGCGTGGACAATTGTCTCAAGTCCCGCGCCGAAATGGTGGAACTGTTTGCCGATATTCCCGAGGCACTGGAAAACACCATCGAGATCTCCCGTCGTTGCAGCGCGATCGTCGAGCGCCGGGATCCGATCCTGCCGCGCTTTACCGGCGGTGGTGAGGAAGATCCGGTCGCAGCTCTTGCCGCTGAAGCCGCAGAGCTACGGCGGCAGTCGATCGAAGGCTTGGAAAAGAGGCTGGCCCGGATTGGCCTTGCCGAGGGATATACGGAAGCTGATTACCGCGAGCGGCTGAAGGTAGAACTCGATATTATCGAGAACATGAAGTTTCCGGGCTACTTCCTGATCGTGGCAGACTTCATCAAGTGGGCCAAGGATCACGATATCCCCGTCGGCCCGGGTCGTGGGTCGGGTGCCGGTTCACTGGTCGCCTACGCGCTGACCATTACCGATGTCGATCCATTGCGCTTCTCCCTGCTGTTCGAGCGCTTCCTCAACCCGGCCCGTGTCTCGATGCCCGACTTTGACATCGACTTTTGCCAGGATCGCCGTGAAGAGGTGATCCGCTATGTGCAGAAGAAATATGGCCGCGAACAGGTCGGGCAGATCATCACCTTCGGAAGCCTGCAGGCGCGTGCGGCCCTGCGCGATGTCGGCCGCGTGCTGGAAATGCCATATGGCCTGGTTGACCGGATCTGCAAGCTGGTGCCCAACAACCCGGCCAATCCAACACCGCTGAACAAGGCGATCGAGGAAGAGCCGCGCTTCAACGAAGAGGTTGAGAAGGAGCCTGCCGTTGGCCGGCTTCTCGATATCGCGCAGAAACTTGAAGGCCTCTACCGTCACGCCTCCACCCATGCCGCCGGCATCGTGATTGGCGACCGGCCGCTGTCGCAACTGGTACCGATGTACCGCGACCCGCGCTCGGACATGCCGGTCACCCAGTTCAACATGAAATGGGTGGAGCAGGCGGGGCTGGTCAAATTCGACTTTCTCGGCCTCAAGACCCTGACCGTGCTCAAGACCGCGGTCGGCTTCATAGCCAAACGCAACATCACGATTGATCTCGAAGCCCTGCCGCTGGACGACCAGCCAACCTACGAAATGCTCTCGCGCGGCGAGACCGTTGGCGTGTTCCAGGTGGAATCCGCGGGCATGCGCAAGGCGCTGATCGGCATGCGGCCCGACCGCATCGAGGACATCATCGCTCTGGTCGCACTCTACCGACCGGGTCCGATGGAAAACATCCCGGTCTACAATGCCCGCAAGCATGGTGAAGAAGAGGTCGCCTCGATCCACCCCAAGATCGATGATCTGCTGGCCGAAACCCAGGGCGTGATCGTCTACCAGGAACAGGTGATGCAGATCGCCCAGGTTCTGGCAGGCTATTCGCTCGGAGAAGCCGACCTTCTGCGCCGCGCCATGGGCAAGAAGATCAAGGAGGAGATGGACAAGCAGCGGGTCCGGTTCGTCGAGGGCGCGGTGGAGCGCGATGTCTCCAAACCGCAGGCCGACATGATCTTTGATCTGCTGGCCAAGTTCGCCAACTACGGCTTCAACAAGTCCCACGCCGCCGCCTACGGCATAGTCTCTTACCAGACCGCCTATCTCAAGGCACATTACCCGGTCGAATTCCTCGCCGCGTCGATGACGCTCGATATGTCAAACACCGACAAGCTGGTTGATTTTCGTCAGGATGCCAGGCGGCTTGGCATCGAGGTGGTGGCGCCGTCAGTACAGACCAGCTTCCGCCATTTCGAGACCGGCGACAACAAGATCTACTACGCGCTGGCCGCCATCAAGGGTGTCGGCGATGCCGCGGTTGAGCACATCGTCGAGGTCCGCGGCGACGAGCCTTTCGCCTCGCTTGAGGATTTTTGCACCCGCATCGATCCCCGCCAGGTCAATCGTCGGGTGCTCGAAAGCCTGATTGCGGCGGGCGCGTTTGACTGTTTCGGGCACGACCGCGCCATGCTCAGCGGAGGGCTGGACCGGGTTCTGGGCTTCGCCCAGCGCGCGCAGGAAAACCGCATCAGCGGCCAGAGCGACATGTTCGGCATCGGCGGCGGTGCGGGCGAGGCCGAGACCATCCAGCTGCCGGCCACCATGCCCTGGCTGCCGGCCGAAAAGCTGCACCGCGAATACCAGGCGCTGGGCTTTTACCTCTCTGCCCATCCGCTTGATTCCTATAATGAACTGCTGGCAAAGATGCGGGTTCAGACCTGGGCCGATTTCTCTGTCGCTGTGAAGGCCGGGGCCACCGCCGGTCGGCTCGCCGGCACTGTCACCAGCAAGCAGGAACGCAAGACCCGCACCGGCAACAAGATGGGCATCGTCGCCTTTTCGGATAGCTCCGGCCAGTACGAGGCGGTGCTGTTTTCCGAAGGCCTGGCACTTTACCGCGAGCTTCTCGAACCGGGAAAATCCATCGTCATCACGGTCACCGCGGAGGAGCGTCCCGAGGGAATTGGCTTGCGTATCCAGACGGCCGATTCGCTGGAAGACCGCGCGGCGCGGGGACAGTCGGCACTCAGGGTGTTCCTGCGCGATGCCAAGCCGCTCAACTCGGTCTCCACGCATCTCAAGTCACGCGGCGAGGGCCAGGTGTCCTTTGTCATGATCAAGGATGATGGCCGTCGCGAGATTGAGGTCACGCTGCCCGACCGCTACAAGATTTCGCCGCAGCTCGCCTCGGCCTTGAAGGCCGCACCAGGGGTTCTCGACGTCGAGCTGGTTTAAGCGGCAAACCCTGCCGAAGCGTTTCGACGGCTGCTCAGTCCGTGCCCGCCTAACGAACCATTGCCATGGTGGCAATGGTCACGGCGTTCAGCCCCATGCCCCACAGCACCGCCAGCGGAAACAGCGGCGATGTCTGACGCTGGATTGCATATGCCATCATGATCAGGGCGGCCGGTAGCCAGTCGAGCATGTAGCGCTGGACATTGTACTGGGTGTATCCGTTGGAATGATAAAACAGCATCACCGTGACCAGCCCCGCCACCAGCATCCCGGAATACACCGTGCGGCGGTTGATCGGCGTGAAGAACAGCATGGCCAACCAGGGGCTCGCCACCAGAAATGCAGTGCCGAAACGGTCCATTCCCACCAGTTCCATGTTCCCTGGCCCTTCGAAGCGGGCATGAAATCCCTGCACCAGCGCATGGTAGAGATTGAATGGAACATAGCTTGGGCTCCACAATCCATGCGTTTCCAGCCGTTGTTTCAGGACGCCGGGCGGATAGTCGATAAAGGCGTAGCCGCTCTCGAACACTGAACCGAAGCGAAGCTGGTTGTAGATCATGTAAATGCCGATCGCCGCCAGCACCGGCAGCCCCAGCCGGACAGCCCGCGTGACCTTGTCTCTCATTGCAGTCCACAGCGGTGTGTCGGTCCGCATCGACAGAATCAGCAACAATGGCACGTAGAAGATCGTCATCTGCCGGCTCAGAAACGCACAGGCAATCGCCATTCCTGCGCTCAGCAGACGGCCCGCCAACGCTTCGTGAAGGGCGAGGCTTGTCATCAGGAACCCGATTGCTTGCGCGAAAAACCAGATGCCGTCTGCGCGGATTGTCACGAAATAGAGCGGGCTTGAAAAACCGGCTGCCAGCACAAGCCAGAACCATGCCGGGTTGCTTGCTCCCAACTGTCGAAAGACACGGATCCAAATCAGCAGTGACAGGAATAAACACAATATTGCCAGAGGGATGAAGCCGAAGGTCGTTGCGCCTCCAAGAGTGACGAGAGGCAGCGCCGCGACTCCGGGAAACGGCGGGAAGACCACATAGGTCCGTCCATCGACATGGGCGCAGTCGAGATCGAAACAGCTTGTTACCCACAAGCGGCTGTGCAGAAAGGCATCCGCCATCAGCGCCGCGGAATTTTTGCCGCCAATCTCGGTCAGTCCTGCATAGACAAGTGCCGCCAGCAGCAGTCCGGCGATCAGAATTCCGGCCGGGATCAACAACCGTTCGCGCTTGGAGGCAGAGGTCATGATTGAGCTGTCTCCCTGTCCTGGCCACCTGGTGGGGCGGGACCGGACTGGTTGTACCGGGTCAGGACAAACGAACTGAGGCTAACGCCAGATCAATCCTCGTCCGCCTGCCGAATCTTTCGTGACGTACCGAATGTATATCCTGTTTCTACTATGTTTTGTCCGAATTTTTGCCGCACCTTGTCGATGGCGCTTTCCGCCACCGCCCGCCGTGCTGCAGCCGGATCAACCAGGTCCGGCGGATCGGCGCGCGCCGCATCGGTTAGATCCGACACCCCGATGCCGATCAGGCGGAACCGGTCTTCGCCCAGTTCGCGCTCCAGCAGATGCAGCCCGGTGCGAAAAATCCGGTCGGCGAGGACCGTCGGATCCTCCAGCTTGAAGTTGCGCGTCCGGCTCTTGAACTCGGCGGTCTTGAGCTTGAGCACCACCGTCTGCCCGGCAATGTTCGAGGCCTTGAGTCGCGCCGACACTTTTTCCGACAAGCGTCTGAGCACCGGCACAAGGTCCTTGGCCTGTGACAGGTCGCTGTTGAAAGTGGTTTCCGCAGACACGCTCTTGGCGCCCTCGTTGGCGTGAACCGTCCGGTCATCCTCGCCCCGTGCCAGATGGTAGAGGCGTTTGCCCATGACCCCGTAGCTGCGCATCAGCGCAGTCTGTTCCATCATCTGTAATTGCCCGATGGTGCGGATGCCGTCGCGTGCCAGGGTTTCGGTAAAGGCCTTGCCGACACCCCAGATCAGCGAGACCGGGCGAGGTTTGAGAAAGTCGATCGCCTCGGCCTTGCCGATCACCGAAAACCCGCGCGGCTTGTCCAGATCAGACGCCACCTTGGCGAGGAACTTGCAATAGGATAGCCCGACCGAAAGGCTGATTCCGATCTCCGCCTCGACCCGGGCGGCAAACCGCGCCAGCGTACGCGCGGCGGTGTCCTTGTGCAGTTTCTCCGTTCCGGCAAGGTCCAGAAACGCCTCGTCGATCGAGATCGGCTGCACCAACGGGGTCAGTTCCTCCATCAACTGCCGGACTTCGCGTCCGACACGGACATATTTCTCCATGTCGGGCTTGATCACGATCGCATCGGGACAGGCATCCAGCGCCTTGAACATCGGCATTGCCGAGCGCACCCCGTGAATGCGCGCGATATAGCAGCAGGTGGAGACCACGCCGCGCTTGCCGCCGCCGATGATCACCGGCTTGTCGGCAAGCTCCGGATTGTCGCGCTTTTCCACCGTTGCATAAAACGCATCGCAATCCACATGCGCCAGCGTCAGCTCATCGATTTCCGGATGCCGGATGATACGAGGGCTGCCGCAGGCATGGCAGCGCTTCACCTCCGCGCGGGCTGAAGTCAGGCAATCGCGGCAAAAGCCGGGACCCGGATCTGGAAGAGACGGCGCTGGGGGCATCGGATCGCAAGTGAGAACAAAGGTTGAACATTTCCAGATTACGCAATAATCTCCGAACTCACAAGGCCACCTGATCAACTGGAGACTGCATCGCTTGAACCTGGATGTTCGCCCCGTCACCGCCGATCTCTGGCCATTGTTGGAAACCCTTTTCGGGCCGCAGGGGGCTTGTTACGGCTGCTGGTGCAGCTATTTCAGGCTGGCGCCGAAGCAGCGGCAAGAACTGAGCCGGGATGACAAGAAGCAGCATCTGAAACAGGCTGCAGAGGCGAAGCTGCCGCCGGGGCTGATCGCGCTCGATGACGGGGTCCCTGTAGGCTGGGTGCAGGTGACTCCACGCGCACATGTGCCGCGCTGGAACACCACGCGGACCGTGTCGCGCCCACTCGATGGCGACGATCCGTCCGATCCGGGCCTGTGGGCTATCTCCTGCTTTTTCATCCAGTCCAGACGGCGCGGGCAGGGGCTGAGCCACGCGCTGGTTGATGCCGCGGTCACCCATGCGCAACGAAATGGCGCCCGCATCCTCGAGGCCTGCCCGGTGGAACAAGCCAAGCATTCCAAGTCCGTCGGTCTGCTGGCCGGGTCCGCGCGGGTGTTCGAACACGCAGGCTTCGAAGCCGTTGCCGAGCGCAAGCCCGGTCGGCCGCTGATGCGCAAGGTCCTTGCGTGAGAACCGTTGCACCCGGCGCCGACGCCCGTGCGGCAGTCTTTCGCTCAGTCGCTTCGCGCGCTGATATGGGCGTTGATCAATGCTTCCGCATGAGCCCAGTCGGTGGCGATGTCGACCCCGTCGCCGGGATGCGGCGCCAGCGCGCGAAAAGTGTCGTTGGCCATCAGATTGACCAGCAGCGATTGTGGCACATGGCTGCGCACGGATTGCAGATTGACGAAGATGTCGTCGATGAACGCCACCGGTTGCGGGCGGTCTCCATGCAGGGCCAGAACCGCCGGCCCCTTTGGCGCTTCCGTTGCAATCATCGGATAATCGAAGCCGTGCCGCGACAAGAGCCGCCTGCGGACCGCGCGGTGGCGCGGCGGCATCGCTGTCAGAAACACGATGTCGGCCTGCTCCGACAAGCGTGCAAGAGTGTCGGCGGCTTCGATAACCGGCGTCTGCCATTCGTCATGGCTCTCGAAAAAGGCTTCCAGCATCTGGCTGACTGCCTCGCCCGGAGTTTCGCTGCCATCGGTGCGATTGAACACATTGCCGTGCAGGCGGAACGAGGTCGGCCGCAGCTCGTAACCCTCGCCGGTGAGGAATGCCTCGAACGGGGTGACGAATTCGAGCACGACCTCGTCCACATCGCACACGATCAGGGGGCGGTCACCGAGGTGCAAATCGTCATGCTCGGCGTCGGGGATGAGCCGCATCATGTTTCGCTCGAGCCGCCCAGCGCCTGGAACGCGCGGGAAATGGTTTCTGGCCTTGTGTCGGTGGCAGCACAGAAGTCCAGCAGCGTCGGTTCATGGCTCATCAGAAATCCGAGAACGCCGGCGAGAAATCCGGGTTCCGTTGCGGCTGCGCGCAGGTTGGAGGCCTCGAGTCCGGTCAGCGCCAGGAACCGGCCCATCAGTTCAGGCTCGCCCGCAAGCCAAGCCAGCACGGCAATCGCCGTATCTTCCGCATCCGCCATCGCTGTCTCGTCCTTCCGAAATGTCATGCAATGTATTCGAAATGACCGATTACCACTTTTTCAACCTAATGGAACTAAGGTGACGGTGTTGGCTGGCACTGGGGACCTGAATTTCCGCAAGCCGGGACAGCCGAGAGCCGGTGATCATGATCACCTGCGACCGGCAACAACTGGATCCGGCGGGCGGATGCTCCGCCTGGATCGGCAATGGGGTCGGATATGACAAAGCAGGTTATGATTGTTGAGGACAATGAACTCAACATGAAACTCTTCCGGGACCTGATCGATCGGATATGACAAAGCAGGTTATGATTGTTGAGGACAATGAACTCAACATGAAACTCTTCCGGGACCTGATCGAGGCGTCAGGTTACAAGACGATCCAGACACGCAACGGTCTGGAAGCGATGGATCTTGCCCGAAAGCACCGTCCTGATCTCATTCTAATGGACATCCAGTTGCCCGAAGTCTCCGGTCTTGAAGTCACCAAATGGCTCAAGCAGGACGATGACCTTCACGTTATTCCGATCATCGCCGTCACTGCCTTTGCGATGAAAGGCGATGAAGAGCGCATCCGTCAGGGTGGCTGTGAAGCCTATATCTCCAAACCGATCTCGGTTCCCAAATTCATAGAAACCATCAAGACCTATCTCGGTGATGCTTGAGCGTGGAGAGCTGACATGACTGCGCGCATTCTGGTGGTTGACGACATCCCGGCCAATGTGAAGCTGCTCGAAGCCCGCCTTATGGCCGAGTATTTCGAGGTGCTGACCGCTGCCGATGGGATGTCCGCCCTTTCGATTTGCGACCAGACTCCGGTTGATCTGATTCTGCTCGACATCATGATGCCCGGCATCGACGGGTTTGAAGTCTGTGAACGGCTCAAGAACAATCCCCGCACCGCCCATATTCCTGTCGTCATGGTAACGGCACTTGACCAGCCCGCCGACCGTGTGCGCGGGCTCAAGGCCGGAGCTGACGATTTTCTGACCAAGCCGGTCAATGACTTGCAGCTGATGACCCGGGTCAAGAGCCTGATACGGTTCAAGGCGCTCAGTGACGAATTGCGGCTGCGGGCCGAGACTGCGCGCAGCATTGGCCTGGAAGCCCTTCTGGCGCCACACCAGGGCAAGCTGGAGGAGCCGGGCATGGTGTTGCTGGTGGAAAGCCGCGCCAACACGCAAGAGCGCATGTCGCGCGCTCTGACCGGCATTGCCGAAATCACCGCGATCGCCGATCCGCAGGCCGCCCTGTTCGAGGCAGCCGACAAGCCCTACGAGCTGGTCATCGTGTCATCGTCGCTGGAAGACTATGACCCCCTGCGACTGTGTTCGCAGCTGCGCTCGCTCGAGCGAACCCGTTTCATTCCGATGCTGGTGGTCGCCGAGCAGGGCGAGGAGGATATGGTGATCCGCGCGTTGGAACTGGGCGTCAACGACTACCTCTTGCGACCGCTCGATCCCAATGAATTGCTTGCCCGCAGCGTCACCCAGATCCGCCGCAAGCGCTATTCCGACAAGCTGCGGGCCAGTCTCACCGAATCGGTCGAGTTCGCTGTCACCGATGCGCTGACCGGCCTCAACAACCGCCGTTACCTCGACACCCATCTGGCGACCCTGGTCGACCGGTCTAACCGGCGCGGGCGTCCCTTGTCCGTGTTGATCACCGACATCGATCATTTCAAGGCCATTAATGATACCCATGGCCACGAGGGCGGGGACGACGTTTTGCGCGACTTCGCCCGCAGGGTGCGCGGCGCTGTCCGTGGCGCTGACCTCGCCTGCCGTTATGGCGGCGAGGAGTTCGTCGTGGTGATGCCGGACACAACATCTGAAATCGCCGCGCAAGTGGCCGAGCGGTTGCGCGAAGCGGTGGCTGCTGCACCGTTCAGGATCTCGGCAACCGGGACAGCTGCGCCAGTAACCACCTCGGTCGGTATCGCAACGCTTGAGGCCGACGGAGAAGGGGCGGACTCTTTGCTTCGCCGCGCGGACAAGGCGCTGTATCAGGCCAAGAACAACGGCCGGAACAGGGTCGTTGGACAGGCTGCCTGAAGTTAATACCCGCGTTGCTGTCTAATTTTTGCAGCTCATCAAGCGTGCCTTAATAACGCTTCGATTCATCTTTTTCCCGGTATTTGAATATTTAAAATTGATTCCAATATTAACCAACAACCACGACAGTTTCGAATTACTATTAAGAAACTGTTGATTTTTTACCGGTTTGAGACAAATATTATACCCGTATGCAGCGTTCTGGGACGGTCGCGAGACAGTCTTAAGCGCAAAACCAGTTTGCATACCCCATGATGTTCAGGTCCGCCGCATCTCCTGGGTCGTGGGGTGGCCGATCGAGAGCAAGTGCATAAGTGGTATCCTCGTTCCACGCCTTGTTTCGGTCGGCCCTCGACACAAAAAACCCGCTTCCGGAAGGAGGCGGGTTTTTTTGTCTGCCGATGAAAGCCTGCCCGATGGGCAGGAGGCAAGCCAGATTACTTGATCTTGGCTTCCTTAAATTCAACGTGCTTCTTGGCAATCGGATCGTACTTGGTCTTCACCATCTTCTCGGTAAAGGTACGGCTGTTCTTCTTGGTAACGTAGAAAAAGCCGGTGTCGGCGGTCGACAGGAGCTTGATCTTGATTGTGGTCGCCTTGGCCATGGTGTCTTGCCTTCTTCAAAAATGAAGCCGCGGACAGCACACATGGCTCCACGGCGAAACTTGCGCGGAAACTACAAAAGCCGCCGGGAAAGTCAAGTCCGTTTTGGTCGCAGCAGGATACGAAACAGCGTCAGCGCCACATAAAGTGCGAAAAAGAATGCCAGTGCCCATGAAAACCCGTGATCGCCGGCAATATCCATCGAAACACCGATGGTCTGCGGGCCGACCAGCATGCCGAGCGCATAGCAGAACACGAAGGCAGCATTGGCTGCAGCGAGATCTGCACCATGCAGCTTGTCGCCCAGATGGGCCAGCCCGACGGTGTAGAGACCGGCGACGCTGCCACCCCAGAACAACAGGATCACGGCTGTCAGCAACCAGTTGTGGATCAGGAAGGGCAGGGCGAGTGACCCCACCAGCCCGATGAAGGCAAACAGCGACAGGAGCGGCCGTCGATCCTTCATCCGGTCTGCGATCAAACCGATGGGGATCTGGAACAACACATTGCCAAGCCCCATCATCATCAGCAGCAATGCGCCTTGCGATTCGGTGAACCCGGTCCGGTTTGCATAGACCGGAAACAGCGACAATCCGCCTGATTCGACAGCGCCGAAAATGAACACCGCAGCGGTCGCGGTCGGAACCAGAAACACATAGCGCATGAACGCGTGACTCGGCGCCGTCTCGATCAGCGGATTTTCCTTTCGCGCCATCAGGATCGGGACAGCAGCCAGCAGGATGATGCCGGCACCAATCGCAAACGGCATGATCCCCTCCGATCCGACCACGGAGAAGATCAGCGGGCCGGCCGCAAATCCGAGCGAGAGCACGGTGGCGTAGATTCCCAGCACCAGTCCCCGCCGCGAGGGCGGCGCTGCGGTGTTGATCCAGAATTCCGACAGCACGAACAGGATGGTGATCGCACCGTGGAAGATGATGCGCAGCGGAAACCACATCCACAACGCCTCGGCATAGTAGAACCCCAGCGCACTCGCTGACGCCGCAACGATCGACAGCACCATGGTGGTGGTCACGGTCAGGCGTTGCGCCAGCATGGTGGAAATCGGTGCCGCGACCATGGCCGCAACACCGGCCATGGCCGAGTTGAGCCCGATCATCGAGGACGAGACGCCGCGCTTCTCAAGAATGATGGACAGCAGCGGCAGCCCCAGCCCGATCGCAATGCCGACCGCCGTGATGGCTGAAACGGCGGCGATCAGCGCAGGCCAATGTATCTCCTCACGGATCACGGCAGTGCGGAGAGATGGATTGTCCATGTGAGGTTGCCCTAAATCAATTCGCGAACGAATCGTCCGTTGCGGGAGTAGTAGAACGGAACGGCTTTGCCAAATGGTAAAGACGCGTCTTCCGCAAGCGCTTCGACCAGGTCGGAGAGAATCACTCTGGTGATTCTGGGCAGTGGGTGGGTTTCATGCGCGTCGATTGGCAACCAGCACAGATCGTGCAGTTCGTCGCTGTCTTGCACCGAGGCGGGATCGAGACCGAGTTCGTCGCAAAAACAGGCAAAGAAGCGGGTGTCAAACCTGCGCGATTGGCCAGGAGGCGTGATGGCGCGGGCCAGAAAGCGGAAGCGCGAGACATCCGGACGCAGCATGCCGGCATATTCCGATGGCGTGAGCGACAAATGCGCCTCTTCCATCATTTCACGCGCCGCGGCGACAGCGAGGCCGCGGGCCGCCGTGTCTTGAAATCGGGCCCGGGTTCGCGCCATGAGCTTGTCCAGCACCTGGTCCTGCAATGGCCGGGCAAGCGCCACCCGGTTGTCGCCGGGATCACGCCGGCCACCAGGAAACACATACAAATCCGGCATGAAGGCATGGGCCTTGCCGCGCTTTCCCAACAGCGCCCTTGGTGTCTTGCTGCTTCGATCCAGCAGAATGAGTGAAGCCGCGTCGCGCGGGGATCGGGTCGGATGCCGCTTTTCACTGGTTCGCGACTGATGATCTTCTGTCAGCAGCGCGGTGTTGGCGGCAACACTGTCATTCATCGCACATCCTCATGCGCGGGTTCGGCCAGCATCGGTTCTTCCGAATCGCCGCCGAAGCCGTGCATGCGCAAGCCCCATTGCAACCCGATAACCCCGCCCTTGATCGAAGGCAGCATCGCCATGGTCAGAATGATGGTGATCGGGATCCAGATCATCAGGTGCTGCCAGCTTTCAAGCACGAGCCAGGTGTCGGTGGCCATGAAACCTGCGACAACGATGTGACCGACGATGAAAATCGCCAGATAGGCCGGAAAATCATCGGCGCGATGGTGAACCATCTCCTCGCCGCAGCTTGCACAGGCATCCACCGGTTTCAGGAAGGCCCTGAACAGTTTGCCCTCGCCGCAATTGGGGCAACGGCAGAGCATCCCGCGCTTGACTGCGCGCCAGGTGTCCCGGGGTGCGTCTTTTTGATGAGCTGTATCGCCGCCAAACTCGAGCATGTCTCTTCTCCTGAACCGTAACCAGCGTCTTTGTCGCTGCAGATTGTTCGCTCGGCGCTGTCTCAGCGCCGCCCGCGAGGTGGCCTTGTGCCGGGCTTCTTGGGGCCGCCGCGTTTGGCGCGGCCGGACTTGTGAAACGACCGTGTGCCCTTTGGCATTTTCTGTCCCTCGCTGAGCATCTCAAATCGCATTGAGCCTGCCAGCGGGATCACTTCGACGAGTTTGACCTCCACCCCATCTCCGAGACGATAGCCCAGACCGGTTTTCTCTCCGGTCAGGGCCTGATGCGCCTCGTCATAGTGATAATAGTCCAGTCCCAATGTGGAAACCGGAATAAAGCCATCTGCGCCAAATTGAGGCAGGCTGACAAACAGCCCGGATTTCGTCACGCCTGAAATACGGCCCTCGAACGCCTCATTCAGACGTCCGGCCAGATGGTGCGCTACCAGTCGGTCCACCGTGTCGCGTTCCGCCGCCATGGCGCGCCGCTCGGTGACGGAGATTTCCGCAGCGATGTTGTCGAGCGCTGCTTCTTCCGGCGGCGTGATGCCGCCTTCACCAAGGCCCAGTGAACCCACCAGCGCCCGGTGCACGATCAGATCCGCATAGCGGCGAATTGGAGAGGTAAAGTGGGCGTATTTCATCAGGTTGAGCCCGAAATGCCCCAGGTTTTCAGGCGAGTAGATGGCCTGGCTCTGGCTGCGCAACACCATCTCGTTGACCATGCCCTGATAGGGCTGGTCGACCGCCTTGGACAAAATGCCGTTGAAAGCATTGGCCCGTATCGCCGAGCCGCGCGCCAGCGACAGACCGAGCGTGCCCAGAAATTCGCGTAAGACTTCCTGCTTTGCCAGCGAAGGCTCGTCGTGAACCCGGTAGATCAGCGCCTGCTTGCGTCTTTCCAGCGTTTCCGCAGCAGCCACGTTGGACTGGATCATGAATTCTTCGATCAGCCGGTGCGCGTCGAGCCGTTCAGGCACGATCACTGTGTCGACCTTGCCCTCCGGCGTCAGCAGGATCTTGCGCTCGGGCATATCGAGATCAAGCGGCTGGCGCCGGTCGCGTTCGCGCTTGAGCACGGCATAGGCCTTCCACAGCGGCTTCAGGACACTGTCCAGCACAGGCCCGGCCTTGTCGTCCGGATTGCCGTCAATCGCTGCCTGGGCCTGCTGATAGGACAGTTTCACGGCACTTTTCATCATGATGCGATGAAACTTGTGGCTGATCTTGCGGCCTTCGGCGGAAAACACCATTCTGAGCGCCAGCGCCGGGCGGTCTTCGCCCTCACGCAACGAACACAGATCGTTGGAGATCCGCTCGGGAAGCATCGGCACCACCCGATCAGGAAAATAGGCCGAGTTGCCACGCTTCAGCGCTTCGCGGTCGAGCACCGAGCCGGGACGCACATACCAAGACACGTCGGCAATTGCCACGGTGGCGATCATGCCGCCGGGATTGTCGGGCGAGGGGTCTTCCTCGGCATAGACTGCGTCGTCGTGGTCCTTGGCGTCATGCGGGTCGATGGTGATCAGCGGGATATGGCGCCAGTCTTCGCGTCCCTGCAACGGTGCCGGCTTCGCATTTTCTGCTGCCTCGATCACCTCGGCCGGGAAGACATGCGGGATGCCATGCGCATGAATGGCGATCATCGAGATCGCCTTCTCGCCCTCGACCGATCCGAGCACCGCGTGCACCTTGGCGCGCGGCAACCCCATGCGGCCCAGCCGGGCTGGCTCCGCCTCGACCAGATCGCCGTCCTTGGCGTCCCCGGTGTAATCGGGATCGATGGTAAACTCCTCGCCGCGCCGCTCGATCGGCATCAGCCGGCCACTGCCGCCAGGCGCCGACCGGAACACGCCGAGGATCAAGCCGTCGCGCCGGTCGAGAATTTTCATGATCCGGGCGGTGTAGCTGGTGCCCTTGCCGTGCGTGGCGGGGAAGATCCGCGCGAGAACCCGGTCGCCGATGCTGGCGGCAGTGGAAGGCGTGCGGGATTTTCCGCGATCGCGTCCGGCGTTCGACTGCCGAACGATCACAGCCGGAGCCGCGCCGTGATCCTCGAGCCATTCAGCCGGTCGTGCAACCAGATCGCCATCGCTGTTGCGCAGGGTGATTTCCAGCACCGCCACTGCCGGCAGTGTGCCGGGGCGCCGGAGCATCTTCTTGTCCCGCTCGATCAGGCCTTCTTCTTCCAGTTGCCTGAGCACATCCTTCAGCTCGGCCCGTGTGTCGCCCTTGATGCCGAAGGCCTTGGCGACATCGCGCTTGGAGGCTCGGTCCGGGTTCTCGCTCAGGAAACGCAATATGGTTTCCTTGTCGGGCATGTCGCCGCGGCGGAAAGCCGGATGTGCATCGTCACTCGCTCCGTCACTTTTGCGGGACGACGGCTTGCCTGCCCCAGGCTTGCGCGGAGGGTGTGCCAAATTCAGTCCTTCTTTTCCTTGGCGGCTGCGGCTTTCTTGGCTGCCGCAGTCTTCTTCGCAGCCGGTTTCTTGGCAGCTGCTTTCGGTTTGGCCTTGGTGGCCTTCTTCGCCGGCGCCTTGGTCTTCTTGCCTGAGGCAGCAGCCTTGGCGGCGATCAGCTCGAGGGCCTCCTCAACCGTCACTTCAGTCGGGACCTTGTCCTTGGGCAGGGTGGCGTTGATCTTGCCCCAGTTGACGTAAGGACCGTATTTGCCGTCACGCACGGTGATCGCGCCGCCATCGGGATGATCCCCCAGCTCTTTCAACGCAGCTGGTGTGCCACGCCCCCGGCCTGGCCCCTTGGCCTTCTTCTCGGCGATCACGGTGACCGCGTGATTGAGGCCGATGGTGAACACGTCCTCCACGCTTTCGAGATTGGCATAGGTGCCGTCATGCAGCACGAATGGACCGTAGCGGCCAAGCCCGGCGGTGATCATCTTACCCGATTCCGGGTGCTCGCCGACGTCGCGGGGAAGGGCCAGCAGCGAGAGGGCCTTCTCGAAATCGATGCTGGCGACTTCCCAGCCTTTGGGCAGGCTGGAGCGCTTGGCTTCCTTGCCTTCGCCGCGCTGGACGTAGGGGCCGAAGCGACCGGTCCGCAATGTGACTGGTTCCCCCGTGGTCGGGTCCATGCCCAATTCTTGCGGCTCGTTGGAAAGCGCTGCGTCGGCATCCGAGCCATTGGACGAGAGCTGGCGGGTGAAGTTGCAATCGGGATAGTTCGAGCATCCGACAAAGGCGCCGTATTTGCCGAGCTTCAGCGACAGATTGCCGGTGCCGCAGGTCGGGCAGATGCGCGGGTTTGAGCCGTCTTCCCGTTCGGGGAAGACCAGCGGCGCCAGCGCCTCGTTCAGCGCATCGAGCACTTGCGTGACGCGCAGTTCCTTGGTGTCGTCGATATGCGCATGGAACTCCGTCCAGAACTCGCGCAAGACGTCTTTCCAGGCCAGTTCGCCGGCCGAAATCCGGTCGAGCTTTTCTTCCAGATCGGCAGTGAAGCCGAACTCGACATAGCGGTTGAAGAAATTCTCCAGGAACGAGATGACCAGACGGCCCTTGGGTTCAGGTGTCAGTCTGCGGTTCTCGATGGTCACATATTCGCGGTCGCGCAAGGTCGCCAGCGTCGAGGCATAGGTCGAAGGACGGCCGATGCCGAGCTCTTCCATCTTCTTGATCAGCGAGGCTTCCGAAAACCGCGGCGGCGGCTCGGTGAAATGCTGCGAGGCATTGATCTTGTCCCCGGCCAGCGCCTCCTGCGCGTTGATCTGCGGCAGCCGGCCGTCATCGTCGCCATCGCCGTCTGACTGCTCGCCATCTTCCTTGGCATCGGTGTATGCGGCGATGAAGCCGTCGAACCGAACAACCGAACCGGTGGCGCGCAAGCCTGCCGTCTTGCCGCCCTTGGAGGCGGTGATGTCGACAGTGGTGCGCTCGATTTCGGCGGAGGCCATCTGGCTGGCGATCGCACGCTTCCAGATCAGATCGTAAAGCTTGAGCTGGTCGGCATCGAGATATTTCTTCAGCTCGTCCGGTGCCCGCTCGAACCCGGTCGGGCGGATCGCTTCATGGGCTTCCTGCGCATTCTTGGCCTTGGTCGAGTAGAGGCGGGCCTTTTCCGGCACATAACGGTCACCGAACCGCGTTCCGATGGCGGCACGCGCCTCGTCAATTGCTTCGGGCGCCATCTGCACGCCGTCGGTCCGCATATAGGTTATTAGACCCACGGTCTCGCCACCGATGTCGATGCCTTCATAAAGCTTCTGCGCCACCTGCATGGTGCGCGAGGCGTTAAAGCCGAGCTTGGAGGAGGCAGCCTGCTGCAGCGTCGATGTGGTGAACGGCGGGGACGGATTGCGTCGTGTCGGCTTGGCTTCAACGCTGTCGGCGACAAACGACGCGCCCTCGAGCATGTCCTTGATCTGTCCGGCAAGGTCGCCATTGGTGACCGACATCTTGGTGATCTTCTCACCGTCATGCGACGTCAGTCGCGCGGTGAAACCTTCCCCGCGCGGCGTTTTAAGCTCCGCCGCGATCTGCCAGTATTCCTCAGAGATGAAGCGCTCGATCTCGCTTTCACGGTCACACACGAGGCGAAGCGCCACCGATTGCACGCGTCCGGCAGAGCGGGCGCCGGGCAATTTGCGCCACAGCACCGGTGAGAGATTGAAGCCGACCAGATAGTCGAGCGCCCGGCGCGCCAGATAGGCGTCCACCAGCGGCGTGTCGATCTCGCGCGGATTGGCCATCGCGTCGAGAACGGATTTCTTGGTGATGGCGTTGAACACGACGCGGGAGACCTTTTTGTCCTTGAGCGCCTTTTTCTTGTTGAGAACTTCCAGCACATGCCAGGAAATCGCTTCACCTTCGCGATCCGGGTCAGTTGCCAGGATCAGCGAGTCTGCTCCCTTGAGCGCTTCGGTAATGTCTTTGAGCCGCTTGTTGGAAGCCGTATCGACTTCCCATGACATGGCGAAGTCCTCGTCGGGAAGAACGGATCCATCCTTGGCCGGCAGGTCTCGAACATGGCCGAACGAGGCCAGGACCTTGTAATCGCTTCCGAGGTATTTATTGATCGTTTTTGCCTTCGCAGGCGATTCCACTACCACTACATTCATCAGGTTGCTCGCATTCGGCCATGAGATTCGGCATGCCGCGCGAATTCGCGCCGTACCGATTGGCCCACGAAATGTACACCGAATGCGGCGCGGTCAAGCCCAAGTTCCAATTTACGCCGTTTTCGCAACCCGAATACAACCAATGCGCGATTGCAACTGTATTGCAATTTAAGATAATTCAGGTATCGTGATTTCCTGATCTGTGAAGCGCTCTTGGTGGGGCGCTGATCAGGGAAATGCAAGGGAGCGACGATGCCGAGCCACCCCTCTCAGGACTGGTGAGACAACGCCCAGACGGAGCAGAAAATCACTTATGTCAGGCAGATGCTGGGCGAGCTGGGCAGTGTCGCACGCAATGAAAATGCGGACATGCTGTGCTACCTTATTGAGATGGCCTATCTTGAGGCCGGCGATGTTCTGGCTGGGACCCGGCCGTTGCATCTGGTCAAGAAACCCTCCTAGTCATCATCGAAGGCAATCGACACCATGCCGCCGGGATGGCGGTGCAACCGCCCCGCAAGATCAAGTTCGACCAACACAAGATAGACGGTTTGCGCCGCGACGCCGGTGTGGCGGATGATGTCATCTATTTCGGCAGGAGAGGGGCCCAACGCCTCGATCACGCGGCTGCGGTCATCATCCCGCGGCTCTTCGAATGGTCCGCTGCCGTCATTGTCTGGTTCCTCGAAGATCGGCTCGTCATCGGCAAACAGGCGGCTTGACGGAGCCAGCGCTTCAATCACATCGCGGCTTTCGGTCGTCAGGATGGCACCGTCCTTGAGCAGACCATTGGCGCCTGCCGCCCGCGGATCGAGTGGCGAACCTGGCACTGCGAACACCAGCCGGCCGAAATCGCCGGCCCGCCGCGCGGTGATCAGCGAGCCCGAGCGTTGGGCTGCCTCGATGACCACCAGTCCCAGGCCGATGCCGGCAATCAGACGATTGCGCCGCGGAAAGTCTCGCGCCCGCGGCTCCCAGCCCATCGGCATTTCACTGATCGCGAGACCGTTTCCGGCGCAGATGTCCTTGTAGAGTTCATTGTTTTCCGGCGGATAGGGTTGATCCAGGCCTCCGGCGAGGGCCGCGATGGTGCCGTTTTCAAGGCTTGCCCGGTGGGCTGCCGCATCAATCCCACGGGCAAAGCCAGATACGATGACATAGCCGGCAGCTCCGAGTTCACGCGCCATGCGTGCGGCCATCTTGGCACCAGACACCGAGGCATTGCGCGAACCGACGATCCCCACCGCAGCCCGCGGTGCCAGCGCCAGGTCACCGATAGCCGCAATCAGCGGCGGCGCACCGTCGATACGCCTGAGCGCCGGTGGGTAGTCTGGTTCGCCGATACCGATAAAGACGGCACCGAATTTCTCTGCCGCTTCCAGTTCCCGCTCTGCTTCTTCAACGCTTGCGACCCTAATGGTGCGCGCAGATCCGCCGCGCCGCGACAGGTCCGGCAGCTGTTCGATGGCGGTCTCAGCCGAACCGAAATGATTGATCAGGTCGCGAAAGGTCGCAGGGCCGACATTGTCCGAGCGGATCAGCCGCAACCAGGCGAGCCGTTGGCGATCGGAAAGGGGGACGCCGCGTCTCCCTTCGTCGCCGGCAGGCATCAGCTTTTGTCCCCGATCCGGCTTTCAGTGCCTGAAATCAGCCGGCGGATGTTCTCGTGATGCTTGAGGATGGTGATGAGCGACATCACCACAAACAGCGACGCCACTTCGGGCCGCCCATATAGATAAAGTGCAATCGGCACCGCCACCGCTGCGGCGAGCGCCGCCAGCGATGAGTATTTGAACAGTTTGGCCATGCCGAGCCAGACCGCGGCGAACACCAGCACCATCACCGGCGCCAGGCCGAGCAACACGCCGAGATAGGTCGCCACCCCCTTGCCACCCTTGAATTTCAGCCATACCGGGTAAAGGTGCCCCAAAAATGCGCCAAGTCCGGCGATCAGCGCAGCTTCCATGCCAACAAATTGGCGAGCAACGACAACCGCCACTGTTCCCTTGAGCGCATCGGCGAGCAGGGTTGTGGCCGCAAGTTTCTTGTTGCCGGTGCGCAGCACGTTGGTGGCGCCGATATTCCCCGAACCGATGGAGCGCACATCCCCGAGCCCGGCCATGCGGGTGAGGATCAGCCCGAACGGAATCGAGCCGCACAGATAGCCAAACAGCAGCGATGCAAGCATCAAGGGAGTGGACAGGGTCCAGTCGATCAGATCAGGCACGGTGCGTTCTTCCTCCCCGGAACCCTGATTGTCAGGTTGCCGAAACCGGTGTCAGTTCCGGTAAACTGTGACACCTGCAACCAGTGTTTGCAACACTTTGCCGGTGAACCTGGCGTCCTCGAAGGCGCTGTTCTTGGACATCGAGACGATATCATCCTTGGATAGAACCCAAGGATACTCGGGGTCGATCAACGCGATATCGGCGCGTGCGCCGGTCTTCAGCGTTCCCGCATCCAGTCCCAGGATCTGCGCCGGACGCGTCGACAGCGCATCGATCAGCCGCATCAGCGGAACATCGCCGGAATGATAGAGCCTCAGCGCTGCGGCAAGCAGTGTCTCGAGCCCGATGGCGCCATTCTCGGCGTCGGCAAACGGTAGCCGCTTGGTGTCGACATCCTGCGGATCATGCGCCGAGACGATAATGTCGATGGCGCCGTCCGCCAGGGCAGCGACCATGGCGGTGCGGTCGTCCTCGGTCCGCAGCGGCGGCGACAGCCGGAAGAAGGTCCGGTACTCGCCGATATCGGTCTCGTTCAGGGTCAGGTGGTTGATCGAGATCCCCGCAGTGACGTCGAGCCCGCGGGCCTTGGCGGCGCGGATGATGTCGGCCGATTCCGGCACCGAAACGCTCATCGCGTGGTAGCGGGACCGGGTGAGGGCCGCCAGACGCAGATCGCGCTCGAGCGGAATGATCTCGGCTTCGCGCGGGATTCCGGGCAGGCCCAGCCAGCTTGCAAACAGGCCTTCGTTCATCACGCCGGTACCACCGAGCTGCCGGTCCTGGGTCGCCACGGCGATGACGGTGCCGAAGTCACGCGCATAGGTCATCGCCCGGCGCATCACCGCCGGGTTGTCGACCGTGTGCCGGCCGTTCGACAGCATCACCGCGCCGGCGTCGAGCAGCAGCCCGACCTCGGTCATTTCCTCGCCGGCAAGCCCCTTGGTCAGGGCTGCCGCCGGATAGACCCGGACGATGGCTTCGTCGCGCGCCAGCCGCTGGACGAAATCGACAAGCGCCACGTCGTCAATCACCGGGTCTGTGTCGGGCATCATGATGATCGATGTGACGCCACCCGCAGCCGCCGCCCGGCTGGCAGACGCAATCGTCTCGCGGTGTTCAGCGCCCGGTTCGCCGATATGAACACAGGCGTCCACCAGCCCGGGAGCAGCGATCAGACCTTCGCAGTCCTCAATCTCGGCGTCGGAAGGCAGCTTGAAACCGCGGGCGTCAGTGCCGCAGGCCGCAATCTTGCCGTTGACTATGACGATATCGCCAAGCTCGTCCATGCCGGTCGAAGGATCGACAATCCGCACATTCTGAAGAACTCTCGAGCTCATCGGGCAAGCTCCCCGTGCAACATCAGCGTCTCCATCACCGCCATCCGCACCGCGACCCCCATCTCGACCTGCTGTTCGATCACGCTTTGCGGACCGTCGGCAATGTCGGAGGCGATTTCAACGCCTCGGTTCATCGGTCCCGGGTGCATCACCAGCGCATCGTCCTTGGCTGATTTGAGCTTTTGGCCATCAAGGCCGAAATAGCGGAAGTATTCGCGGACTGACGGCACGAAGGAACCGGCCATCCGCTCACGCTGCAATCTCAACATCATCACCACGTCGGCATCTTTCAGCCCGTCTTCCATGCGCTGGAACACTTCCACACCCATATCCGCGATGCCTGATGGCAGCAGCGTCGAAGGCGCGACCACGCGGATGCGCGCGCCAAGCGCATTGAGCAGCAGGATGTTCGAGCGGGCAACGCGGGAATGCAGAACGTCGCCACAGATGGTGACAATCAGCCGTCCGACCTTGCCCTTGGCGCGGCGGATGGTCAGCGCGTCAAGCAGCGCCTGGGTCGGGTGTTCATGCGCACCGTCGCCGGCATTGATCACCGGGCAGCCGACCTTTTGCGCCAGCAGAGCCACAGCACCGGCAGACGAATGCCGCACCACCAGCACATCGGGGCGCATGGCGTTGAGTGTCATCGCCGTGTCGACCAGGGTCTCACCCTTTTTGACGCTCGAATTGGCGACCGACATGTTCATCACATCCGCACCGAGCCGTTTTCCGGCCAGTTCGAACGAGGCTTGTGTCCTGGTCGAGGATTCAAAGAAAAGATTTATCTGGGTCAGGCCACGCAGGGTGGTGGTCTTTTTCTCGCGCTGGCGGGAGATTTTCACCGCCTCATCCGCCTGATCGAGCAAATAATGTATGTCTGGCTCCGAAAGCCCCTTGATTCCGAGCAGGTGGCGGTGCGGAAATGACATCGGACGTCCTGTGATCGAAAATCTTAAGCGTTCATAGAAAGGTTCAGGTTCAGGGGCAAGCTTGAGCGGGGTGGAAATACGTAATGTCCCCATGCAAAACCATACGAATCCCTGTAAGCGAGGTCCAATGAGCCCGATACAAGCCTTTGGCCCCCAGGCCGACAATCAAAGCCCGTCTTTTTCCGGACACAACGCTTTTCGTTCCGATCCCTTGCTGAAGGACATTGCGGCTGACATGCCGCGCGCACTTCGCATCGATTTCGAAACGGGCGGCAAATTCGTGGCCTCGGCGGAAGCGCAGGACCTGGCCCGCATCGCCAATCGGTCGGTGCCCGAGCTCAGGACCCATGATAGCTCTGGCAATCGCATCGACCAGGTTGACTTTCATCCCAGCTGGCACGCTTTGATGCGCCGCGGCGTGGCCTCCGGGCTGCAAGGCTCGGTATGGGAAGGCAAGCGCGAGGAAGCAGGCTTTGCCCATCAGGCGCGCGCCATTCGTTTCTTTTTGACCGCGGGTCTCGAATGCGGCCATTTGTGCCCGCTGACCATGACCAACGCCTCGATTGCCGCCATCATGGCCTCGCCGCGCATCGAAAAGGCCTGGGCGCCGCAGGTAGTCTCGCGGCGGTATGATTCGAGCCATCGCCCGGCGATGCAGAAATCCGGTGTCACCATCGGCATGGGCATGACCGAGAAGCAGGGCGGCACCGATGTGCGCGCCAACCAGAGTGTTGCCACCCGCGCAGGCGAGGGGGTTTACCGCCTCTCTGGCCACAAATGGTTCATGTCGGCTCCGATGTCGGACGCCTTTGTCATGCTGGCACAGACCGGCAAGGGCTCAACCGAGCAGGTGAGCTGTTTTCTGGTGCCGCGCATTTTGGAAGACGGAAGCCTCAACGGCCTGCGGTTGCAGCGGCTGAAAGACAAGCTCGGCAACCGCTCTAACGCGTCGTCGGAAGTCGAGTTCAGCGATACTTTCGGCTTTTTGCTTGGCGGCGAAGGTGAGGGGATCCGCACCATTCTCGATATGGTGACGCTGACCCGGCTTGATTGCGCGCTGGCGTCCGCCGGTATGATGCGCGCCAGCCTTGCCGAAGCCGTGCATCATTGCCGCCATCGCCGGGTGTTTGGCGAGTTGCTGATAGATCAGCCGCTGATGGCGCGGGTGCTGGCCGATCTGGCGCTCGACACGGCTGCGGCAACAGCACTTTCGATGCGTTTGGCGCGCGCCTTTGACAATGCTCGCGACAACCCCTCCGAGGCCGCCATCGCCAGGCTGCTTACCCCGGTGGTCAAATACTGGGTCTGCAAGATCGCACCGTCCGTCATCTATGAAGTGATGGAGTGCATGGGCGGCAACGGCTATGTCGAAGAGCGCGCGGTGGCGCGGCACTATCGTGAAGCCCCGGTTAACGCAATCTGGGAAGGCTCGGGCAATGTCATGTCGCTCGATGTGCTCAGGGTTCTCACCCGTGGCCGCGATTTGCTGGAAGTGGCGCTGGAAAGCATCAACCGTGATCTCGGCGCCGCCGGGCCGCGTACCGTTGATGTGCTGCGCGCTTGCATGGCCGTGGCCGAGAGCGATGAGGGAGCGGCAAGGCTGCTGACCGAGCAGCTGGCGCTTGCCGCTGCTGCCGCCGAATTGACCCGCCTGGGCGCCGGCCATGTTGCCGAAGCCTTTGTCGAAACCCGTCTCGGCGGCGCCTGGCGCTCGACCTACGGCATGCTTGACGCGCGCTTTGACGCGCGTCAGATTGTCGATCTTCTCTACCCGCCTGTAACCTGAGTCCGCTGGCTGCCTATAGACCGCCGGCCAGTCCTGCAGCCCACATCACTGCCGGTATCGTGACAAAGGATGCAGCCGTCTGTACGGTCGCCACCGCTGCGTAAAGCGGTGCATCGCCGCCCATCTGGCGCGCCAGCAGATAGCCGTTCATCGCGGTTGGCACGGCCGCGCACAGCGCCAGAATGAGCACGGTCTCACCGCTCAGCCCGAAGCTGACCGCAAGCGCCACCATGACAATTGGAAACAGGATCAGCTTCAGCAGCACCGGTGTCAGCACCGCGGGTCCGGGACGAAGCGCGTCGGTGATCTTCAACCCGGCTCCGACCATCAGCATGCCAAGGCCCAGAGCGGAACGAGCGATCAGGTCGATGGCCTGTTCGACGGGCGGATAGATGCCGATAGACGAAGCATTGACGAGAATGCCTGCGAGACAACCCAGAATCAGTGGATTGCCGGCAATCCGCTTGACCAGCGTCGCCATGCTGCGTCCGCCGGTTCCGTACCAGACCAGCATGATCACGTTGATGAAATTGAGCGGGATGACGATCAGCGCAAGCACCAGCGCGACAAGTGCCATGCCGCTTGCGCCGGACAGCTTTTCCGCAATCGCCAGTGCAATGAACCCGTTCCAGCGTGATGATGTCTGAAACAGGGTCGTGAAGCTTGCATTGGACATCCCTCTTGCCCTCGCGATCGGATGCAGCGCCAGCAGCAGCACGGTCATGATCGCTACAGCGCCTAAAGATACCAACGCCATGGTGCCGAGTTCTATGCCGGAAAAATCCGCAGTGGCCAGGGTCAGGAACAGGAGCGAGGGGAAGATCAGAAAGTAGCCCAGTGTCTCAAGCCCCGGCCAGACGCTCTGGTCGATGAACGGCGCGCGCCTGAGCGCAATGCCAAGAAGCACGATCAGAAAAATCGGCAGGATGCTTTCGAATATGGGGATCATGAGGGGCGCCGTTAGGGGGAGGTGCCCCCTCATAAGCAGCTGCGCCGCCAAGAGCAATGGCGGCCGTTAACCTTAACAAATGGTTTACATTGCGCAGGCGCGCCGCCAGCGTCATGCTGACAACTGAATTTAACCTTAACGCATGAGCCGCGACGGTCCCGTGATGATATCTAACCGCCTGTATTATGCCTCGATGATGCTGTTCTGGGTCTGCTATCTGTCGCTGCTGGCGATGGTCGTAGCCTATGCGCCGCAGGGCGGTTTGAGCATGGCCGGACTGACCCTGTTCAGCGACGCGGGTCTTGTCGAGACGGCGGTGATGGCCATGCAGTCCATCGGCCTGTCGCCGGTGGGGCAAAGCGTCGTCTTCGGGCTTCTGGGTGGTTTTAGCGCGGCGTCAGCCGGGTTGTTGCTGTTTTCAATGATGTTTTATGTGTTTGGCGAAGAGCGTGAGCAGCGCGAAGCGCGGCCATTGGCTCAAGGAGCAGTCGCCTGCACGGCGCTTTCGGCCATGTTGACAGCTCTGGTGTTCCTGGCCGGCGGGCAGGCGGGCGCGCTTCTGGCGCTGCAATTCGGCGCGCTTGGCGGCTTGTTCCTGACCGTTATGTCGCTCGGCCAGTCACAGATAGAGCCTGATCGGGAAACCGAAGAGGAGGCGAGTGATCTGGACCAGGTCATTGCCGACCACGCCGCCAATCATGCCGCCTTCAGCTCTCAGCTGGCGTCATTCTCAAGACATGGATCACGGTCATGAAGGTGTTTCTCGCGCTCTGGATCATGCCGATCATCCTGCTCGGAAGCTGGTACGGCCTGTCCTACTACGACATCAGTTTCGGCTACCGCATCCTGACCCGTGACCTGCACGATCTGGTTTTCCAGATTTACGGCAATCTGCTCGGAATTCCCCCGGAGACCATCCCGGCCCTTGTGCTCAAGGCGATCATTTTCGACACCTTCCTGGTCGTCGGATTCATCATCCTCAAGCGTCGCCGCAGGCAGATCTGGGCCGCCATTCGCAAGATGCTCGGATGGACGGACACCTCCGACGAGCCGATGCAGACATCCGCTCGGGCCGACTCAGAGTTCTCCGGAAGCGCCTGAGCCTAGTTGCTGCGCACGCAATCCGGTCAAGCGGTCAAGCGCACCCTGCAGGATGAAGCTGGCGGCCGCCGAATCAATCCGTTCCTTGCGCTTCTTGCGTGAGACATCCATTTCGATCAGCGCCCGCTCTGCAGCCACGGTTGACAGTCGCTCGTCCCAGAACACGAATGGCAATTCGCTCTTTTGCGCCATGTTGCGCACGAAAGCCCGTGTTGCCTGAACGCGGGGACCCTCGCTGCCATCCATGTTGACGGGGAGCCCGATGATTGCCACGCCAACCTTGTCCTTCTCGAGCGCAGCAATCAGGGCGATTGCATCAAGGGTGAACTTCTTGCGCTTGATCATCGGTCGCGGCGAAGCGAGCCGCAGCGACAGGTCGGACACCGCAAGCCCGATGGTTTCCGTCCCCAGGTCAATGCCTGCAATCGTCTGGCCCGGCGACACATGTGCGCCCACATCCTCGATGGCGATAACAGCCATTTTTCAACTCCGCCTTTGCGCCCGGACCAATGCCGCGCTAGATGATGGGTTTAGCGAACAAGCCCTTGGAATGCGAGGGTCCCTGAATTGCGAAGGAGGATAATCCATGAAAATCACCTGGCTGGGCCACGCTGCATTTCGTCTGGAAACCGCGAAATCAACCATCCTGATCGATCCGTTTCTCACCGGCAATCCGGGCTTTGAAGGCAATGACCGCAAGGACGCGGTCAAAGATGTCACCCATATCCTGCTCACCCACGGCCACGCCGACCACATTGGCGACACCGCCGCCATTGCCAAGGAAAGCGGGGCGGTGGTGCTGTGCAACTACGATCTCGGTATCTGGCTCGGCCATCATCAGGGCGTGGACAAGCTCGAGATGGGCAACACCGGCGGCACCATCTCGCTGGGTGATTTCTCGGCCACCTTCGTCAACGCATTTCATTCCTCGGCCCAGATCACCGAAGACGGCGTGTCGCACTCGCTGGGTTCGGCCAACGGCCTGATGCTGCATTTCGATGACGAGCCGGGCCTCCTGCACATGGGCGACACCGACATCTTCTCCGACATGGCGCTCATCAATGAGCTGCACCGGCCGGAAATCGGCATCGTACCGATCGGTGACCGCTTCACCATGGGCGGTGCTGTCGCAGCCCTTGCCTGCCGCCGCTACTTCTCCTTCGCCAAGGTCTTGCCTTGCCATTACGGTACCTTCCCATTCCTCGACCAGACCGCTGACGCGTTCATCGAGGGCATGGAAGATGATGCCAAGAACGTTGCCGCTCCCAAGTCGGGCGAAAGCGTGACCGTCTGATCCGATCATTCGGCAACCGCGACGGCACAAAACAATGCCGCGCGGTTGCGCGGCTGCCCGCTCGCCGCTATAGCGGAGCCACCTGTTCACACCACCCCGATGAGGACCCGATGTCCGTAGATCTTGCCACCGTCAAACGCGTTGCGCACCTGGCCCGCATTGCGGTCACCGACGAGGAAGCCGCCCGCATGGAAGGCGAACTCAACACCATCCTGGGATTTGTCGAACACCTGTCGGAAGTCGATGTCGACGGCGTCGAGCCGATGACCTCGGTTACGCCGATGGCGATGAAGAAGCGCGCCGATGTGGTCACCGATGGCTCCAAGGCGGACGATATCGTCGCCAACGCACCCGAAAGGGCCGACAATTTCTTCGTGGTGCCGAAGGTGGTCGAGTAAACCGATGGCTGTGTCAATCGCCATTGAAACGCCACTTCAGGACGAGGTGAAGACGCTGGTTACGGCGCTCGATGCGCATCTGGCGCCGCTGGCACCGGCCGAGTTCAATTTCGGACTTGATCTGGACGAGATGGCTGCCGACGACACCGCCGTCTTTGTCGCCCGCAATGGCGACGGCAAGGCGGTGGGGATCGGCGCCCTCAAGCTCATCGGCCAGTACGAGGGCCTTCAGCTAGGCGAGATCAAGCGCATGTTTGCCGATCCCGCCGTACGCGGCCAGCGCATCGGTTCGGCCTTGCTTGAGGCGATCCAGACACGCGCCCTGTCGCTCGGTATCGAGCGCCTTGTGCTCGAAACCGGCGTGGGCGAGGGGCTCGCCGCCGCCGTTCGGCTTTATCAGAACCACGGCTTCACCGAATGTGGCGCCGTGCTTGATTATCCCGCATCTCACTATTCCCGGTTCTTTGAAAAGAAGTTGTCCGCATGACCGACCTCATCCGCCTGACCATCGCCGAAGCCCGTGACGAAATGGGCAAGGGCGCGCTCTCCAGCGTCGAGCTGACTATCCGCCTGACCATCGCCGAAGCCCGTGACGAAATGGGCAAGGGCGCGCTCTCCAGCGTCGAGCTGACTGACGCCTATCTGACCGCCATCGAGGCCGCCAACCCGGCGATCAATGCCTATGTGAAGGTCACCGGCGACAAGGCGCGCGAGATGGCGAAAACCTCCGACGCCCGCCGCGCGGGCGGCCAGGCCGGCGCGCTTGAAGGCATTCCGCTCGGCGTCAAGGATCTTTACGCCACCGAGGGTGTCCACACCCAGGCTTGCTCCCACGTACTCGATGGCTTCGAGCCGCGTTACGAATCCACCGTCACCGCCAATCTCTGGGCCGATGGCGCCGTCATGCTGGGCAAGCTCAATATGGACGAATTCGCCATGGGCTCGTCCAACGAGACGTCCTATTACGGCCCGGCAATCAACCCCTGGCGTGCCGAAGGCTCCAACGCCAATCTGGTGCCCGGCGGTTCCTCTGGTGGTTCGGCTGCAGCTGTCGCTGCCCTGATGTGCGCCGGCGCGACTGCGACCGACACCGGTGGCTCGATCCGCCAGCCCGCGGCCTTCACCGGCACCGTCGGCATCAAGCCCACCTACGGCCGCTGCTCGCGCTGGGGCATTGCCGCCTTTGCCTCGTCGCTCGACCAGGCGGGCCCGATCGCCCGCGACGTCCGCGATTCAGCCATCCTGCTCAAGTCGATGGCATCCGTTGACGCCAAGGACACCACCTCTGTCGATATGCCGGTTCCCGATTACGAAGCAGCCCTTGGCGGTTCGGTCAAGGGCCTCAAGATCGGCATCCCGCGCGAGTACCGGATCGACGGCATGCCGGAAGAGATCGACACGCTCTGGCAGAAGGGCATTGCCTGGCTCAAGGAGGCCGGCGCCGAGATTGTCGACATCGAGCTGCCGCATACAAAGTATGCGCTGCCGGCCTATTACATCGTCGCCCCTGCCGAAGCCTCGTCCAATCTGGCGCGCTATGACGGTGTTCGCTACGGTCTGCGTGTGCCCGGCAAGGACATTGCCGACATGTATGAGCAGACCCGTGCGAGCGGTTTCGGCCAGGAGGTCAAGCGCCGCATCATGATCGGTACCTATGTGCTGTCCGCCGGTTACTACGACGCCTATTACCTGCGCGCCCAGAAGGTGCGCACCCTGATCAAGCGCGATTTCGAACTCGCCTTCGAGGCGGGCGTCGATGCCATCCTGACACCCGCCACGCCGTCCTCTGCCTTCGCCATCGGCGACGAGAGCCTCGCCAGTGATCCGGTCAAGATGTACATGCAGGACGTCTTTACAGTGACCGTCAACATGGCAGGTCTGCCGGGCATCTCGGTGCCCGCCGGCCTTGATCACAAGGGTCTGCCGCTCGGCCTGCAGTTGATCGGTCGTCCCTTCGAGGAAGAAACCCTGTTCAAGACCGCCCACGTCATCGAACAGGCCGCCGGCCGCTTCGAAGCCAAGCCCTGGTGGTGAGACTTTCCCAATAGACAGATGACAAAGCGGCGCCCGGAGGCGCCGCTTTGCATTTAGCGGTTGTTCAGCTGTGATCTGACCAGTTCCAGCCCACGCCGCGTGACGCCATAGGGCTGACCCTTGCGCGAGCTGATGGCGCGTCGACGCTTGAGCTTGCGAAAGGTCTCGATGTCGAGATCGGCAAACAGCCAGCCTTCGCGGGTGATGAGTTTCAAGTCCGTGATCTTCCTGCGGTTGTCACGGATCGGCTCGATCCTGCCACCTTGTGCCAGCAGGTGCAAAATGCGCTGTTCAGCGCGGGAAATATCCATTTTTGTGTCCGGAAAAGCGCTCGTGTGAGCGCGCAAAAGCATCGGCCGATGTCAGCGACGTCGGCGGTTTGATGTTTTTGTCGGGCCATGCACAGCGTTTTGAACGCGGGGCTGGCCCGTTATCGGGACTCGGACAGAAAGAACATAAAGGCTCCGGTATTGAACCACTCTACCATAGCCGGGCTGGCAGGCGGGTTCAATAAAACTCGGTCCCGTTGCTGTCATGAAACTTGGTCACTGTTGCCCCCTTGCCCTTCAAAACTGCGCAGGGCTTGATGATTTGTGCGATTCCGGCGAAAGTCGGAACAATTGGCGCGCAACGGCGCGGTCATGATTCTACGGAGCGATCTCTTGATAGCGATCCGGCCTGCCACGTCTGCCGAAGCCCAGGATCTTGCCGAGATCGGTCTGGCTGCGTGGGAAAAGGCAATCCGCGTCTGGGGCGAGGATGCCGAGCGTCTGCGCGAAAATGCCCGGGAAGCCTATTATGACTTCTGCACCCGTTGCTGGCCTGATATCCTGGTGGCCGAATGGGATGGCGATGTTGCCGGCTGGGGATCGTGTGAAAAGGCCGATGATTTCATCACCGATCTCTGGGTGCTGCCGGAATTTCAGAACCAAGGCCTCGGGTCGGCTCTGCTGCAGGAAATCGAAGCCGGCATCCTTGAGCGCGGCTTCCCCGCGGCACGGCTCGATACCCACGCCCGAAATCTGGCCGCCATCCGGCTTTTCAAACGCCTGGGGTATCGGGTCAAAACCTATTTTGTCACCTACTCCGATCCTCTTGATGAAGACATCGACAAGGTCGAGATGATCAAGGAGTTCGAGCCTGACAGCGAGCCGGTTGATCCCGGCACCGACGACTACAGCCTCTACGACAATTGAGCGCAGGCGGAGTTGCTTTGGGCAAGCCGGCACTGGCCTGTTCTGCCATGGGAAAAAAAGACCCGGATGCGACGATGCAATCCGGGTTGGAAATTGGGCGGAAACAACGTCTCCGCCTTGAGGGAGCTTGAATTCAGGCTGCAGGCTGCGCCTTGGTATTTGCGGTGCGCAAGACCCGCGCAAAAAGGTCATGATTTCTGCAAAACGACGGAGCCTCATCCGGTTGCGCTTCATGCGACAGCCAATGCTGGCAGGCATCGGCCCGGTCGCAGCTCAGGCACCGGTTGGCGGCACGACGCAGCACACCTGCATGATCGGGCAGGTTCCGGATCTCGTCCGAGACCCCGAGTTTGTTCATCATGGCGTCCATCAGGTCTGCCTGTTTGGTCAGGCGGCTGAAAATGTCGAGTACGCTCATGATCTTCTCCTCTGGGCTGTTGCAGGCAGAATCCCATCAGCGCCGCACAGCCGCATTGATCTCGGTCAAACAATTTGCACTTGGTTTCGGGCCCGATCCGGGCCTCAATGCCCGGAAAGCCTTGCAGTCAGGCCGGCTTTGTTCTACCCGACAGGGAGCTGATCCTTCACAGATAATGAGCCTGCCATGACACTCGTCGACACCCGCACCCCTGAACCGAAACGGCTGATTCCCGGCGCCACCGGCGATTGGGAAATCATCATCGGTCTGGAAGTCCATGCGCAGGTGACCAGCAACTCGAAACTGTTCTCCGGTTCGTCGACCCAGTTCGGCAAGGCACCCAACTCCAATGTCAGCCTGGTTGACGCGGCCATGCCAGGCATGCTGCCGGTGATCAACGAGGAATGCGTGGCCCAGGCCGTGCGCACCGGGCTTGGCCTGAAAGCGCAGATCAACAACCGCTCGGTGT